TCCCCTTTTTTTCTCCCCCCTAACTCTGATGTCTGATCCGCTTTACAACAGTGGTACTTATGCAGTATTTGTTCTTTTATGACTGAGATATTTCATTCAGCATAATGTCCTCCAGGGTCTGCTTAAACCATTAAACAACACTTTGATGAAGGATCATAAAGCCTTTGCCTCACAGATACCACAATCACAGTTTTAATGTTGAAGATAGAGGCTTTAAAACTGGTATTCTAATTTGCTAATTCTATTTGTTTATATGGGGAGTTCTGGTGGTAAGATATTGTGCTGCAGTCACAAATGTGCATGGTTCAATTCCACAGCTGCTCTGTGGTAGGACTACGATGGGCTGTCTATTCCTGAGTGATTTACTGCCTCTGAAAACCTACTGGAGGGTCAGCTATGGGTTATTTCTAACTCAACAGCACACACAAACGTTTGTTTATATAGACACTGAGAACATGTTCTGCTTTGCAATTTACAAGAAAAATATGGAGATATGGGACTTTTTTATGTTGAGGACTAGGATGCCCTAAAATCAGAAAAGTTATTTATAATGCTAAAATATTTTAATAGATTTTTTTTAAGATTCCGAAATATTTATGCTCTGAAGATGTTGAAACATAAACTCTGACCCCTTGTAAAATGTCTGTTTATGGAAGTGACAAACTTAGGCTTGCTTGACCAACAGCAGAAAACAGAAAATATATTAAGCAATTGCAATATTTAATAGTAATACTAAAACTACTCACAATTCATTGTCATTGCAACCTTCTAGCAGGATTTCAGAGCCTATAAATCACAAGGGAGGGCCCTGCCTAGCTTTCTCTTGAGTACAAAATAATAGCAGGAGGAAAAAACAAACAAAACCTGACCAGAAAAACCTACCATGTACTGAGGAAATCAGCTAACTGAATACCAAGTGCCTTTTGTAGACCACATGCCCTCTAAAGTGAGGTTGGGGCCTGGGAGACACTGAGATCATCCTGTACAACCAGTTATACGGCTGCTCTCACCACATGGTCACTGAGAGAGCTGTGGGAGAAAACAGAGAATAAGATCAATTTATGTCAAATACAGAAAATGGACCAGATGTGTTCTGATGAATAACCTACTCTTAAGATGCATATGAGTCACCTCAGGCTCTCTAAGCTCACAAGGGAAGTATTTAGTGCTTTTAAATAGCGTTTTAACAAACAAATCCTCAGAGTCTCTCCGGTGACATTGTTCAAAATTCTTTTCCAGAGTAATCTGACCTGCTATTTTTGTGTCAATAGCACATTCATATTCCAATGCATAGTTTGCCTCAGAGTTTTACTTCCTGTGTTCAGAACTACTTCTTCTTATCTTATAGAAAGGCCAAAAGGAAGCTTCCCCAAACCAAAGTTGTCAAAGAGAAATGATTTATTACCTTATGACTTACTCAGTGACAGCTGAAGCAAAAGTATAATTAATGAAGAAGAGCAATTTTAAAAGGATTAGATGAGTTATTTTCACTAATTGACAAACATTACGTCAATAACACCACTGTTCAGTCATATTTCTGGGTAAAAATGAAAATACATACTTCAGAATGTAGATCATAATGGATCGTTTGCTTATTTAAAGGTATAGACTATTGTGTGATCAGAAACATAGATATAAAAGAAAAATGTATTGTTGAGTTAACCAACTAAATTTAGACTTCCTTGAGGAAATTTGAAATGTGTTCATGTTGTAGCTATATGACACATTTTATGAGTACTTGTCAGTACATGGTACACCATGCCTGGAATAGTTCATAGTCAGTAAGTACCTCTCTCTTCTCATCTTCTCTTGAATGTGTGTAAACTTTGTTATAATTGAATAAAGTTTATACAGCAAATATAAACCTTATGACTTGTATGTTTTGCATGTTCTAAATAGTTTCTGTACAGTTTTAATGACAATAGGTTTCAGTTACAATTGCTCATTGCTGATCCCGGGGGAAACAAAGGTTATGTGGAAAAGTAAAAAATAAACTTTGCAAATGAGAAAACTCATCATTGCTATATAAGCTAAATTCTTCTATTATAAACAAACCAAGCTACCCATGAACAAATTTTCAAATTAATTCAGAAAGGTATAATTTACTGCATTTTAAATCCCCTCCCTATTGTTCCCTGCCCCTGAGCCAATCTTGATTCACTACATTTCTCTCCTTTAAACCCTAGCACATCCTCCATGTGGCGCCCACCATGTGATGAATCACACCCCACACTAATTACTCCTCATAATGTTTCTGTGTTACCAAGTTGATTTTTCACATTTGTCTATTAGCATTGCAATTGTTGGTTGGTTGCCAGTTTCTTAAAACAAATGAAACAGAAAGAAAAACTGCTAGTGTTTATTCTTGAAGTTAAATCTCTGAATATTCTCAGATTATGTAAACTCCCCAAAGAAAATTTTGTGTCATTAAGAATTGTAATTAAGATATTTAGCAATTATAATTTTATTATTGAGTGTCCATATCCTTTAATTGGGTAAGTCCACATTTTCCCCCAGTTCTTTCTCAGTCTCCTTACGGATGTGATTGCAATGCCTTTAGTCATTCATTCTCATAATATCACTTCTTTTTTTCCTTCTACCTAGTAACCTTGCAGCTTCCTTTCCATCAAGGACAGTGCCAAGCCTTAAGACTGCTTATTTAGAGAAGAGGAAGACTAGTACTCTGTTTATAAATTAAAAAAAGTAAAGTTGAATCCTTATATTCAGCTGTTAAAACTTTTTTACATTGGATATTACTCCTAATTTAGAACTGTAGTCTTTGTCACAGTCTTATCAGTGGACTATGCAAAAATAAATTAAATATATTAATTTTCATGTTTATTCATGAAACAAGAAGCTGAATTCAGCACTATTTAAAATGAGATGCCATATTCTTTTTTCCCCCCTTTCAATTCCCAAAGCACTTACATCATACCTAATTGACACAGTTTGTTATTACATTACATTTCATTACCAAATCAGCTCTACAATCATACATATGTCTACTGGTTATGACCGGGAGCTCTGGAGGCCTAGTGGTAAGGATCTGCACTGCAATCTGAAGACACGCAGTTCAAACCCATCAGCTGCTTCATGGGAGAAGGATGGGCAATCTTCTTCTGTGCAGCTGAACTTCCTCTGAAAGCCTGCTGGAGGGTCCTCTACGGGTTGGTTCCAACTCAGCAGTACACAGCAACAACAGCTTGTTGTGACACTGTGTCTAGCTAGATCCTGGTATGCTGAGCATCAGTGCATTTGATGGCACATACGCTTACGTTTTATAACTTTTTATTTCAGCTCAAGAACTTCATGAAGAACTATGATGGGGTAGCTGCTGCTTCTTTCTCACGGGCTGTGGAAACTGTTGAGGCCAATGTGCGCTGGAAAATGCTTTATCAAGATGAACTTTTCCAATGGTTAGGGAAAGCTTTGAGACACTGATAGGTGTCTCCTAATGCTGCGACTCTGTGAGAACACCTGCATGACGTGAAATGAGGAAAATGGGCTCTATCAAAATGGCCAGAATTTCAAATCGTTAAAGTGTGGGAGGATTTTTGTTATAGTTTCAGTTTGTTATTGTTTGAGGGTATATTTTCGGTTTATTTGTACTGCTTTTTTGTTTTATCTCCTTTTTCTACTGGGTATTCTTCTTTAAAGACATTTTTGCAAGTGGAACTAGCCATGATTGCCTCAATCGTAGATTCCTTTCCACACAGGACCAAACTCAAAAGTGGCGCATGTTGTTGATCTTACCATCCGTTTGGGAAACCTTCTCCAGAATATTTTGTGCATGGTTATATGGTCCTGCTTGTGTTCCAGCATGCTTATTTAAACTGTCCAGTGTTGTATGTGAATATTTGTTACACCTAGAATGGGCATTATGCAAAAGCACAAAGATTATCTATGACAATCAATGTTGCAACAGAGGGAAAACTTTATACATACATACATATATATATGTATATATATATTTAAAAAAGGGAAGTATAGTCTCAGTTCTGTGAAATGTGAGAAGTCTTATATAGCCCTTTAAGATACCACTGTCACTGATTTCAACACCTGGATTGTCTGACAATGATTATTGTGTTGTTAACTCATTTTCTTTGAGTTAATGGTGTGTATACCTTTTAAAAGCATATAGATACTATATGCATATGTATCTGTCTTTAAATGTGCAAAGAATTACTTCAGAGCAAAGAAAATTTCCTTATAAGTGTATGCAAACTTTACAAAACCTTAAAATCATTTATCACAACAATGTTCTTTCTGAAACTATCCTGAATAGTATCTCAGTTGTTATGAATTTTTGTCTACTTCCCAAAGGATGATCTGCCCCACTATGTGATGAAGAAGTCTAACAAAATTTATGTCCTCACTAAGCACTCTTTTAAGCACTGAATCTCTTAAGTCAGTGGCAGCCTTGCATCCTAAATATGAAGTCTATCATCATGTTGGCCAAACGTCCCATCACATAAAGCTTTTCTGCAACCTTATAAGTATCACTGTTGAGAAAGTATTTCTTTTCCATCTTAGTTGTTTTGTCTTCTCATTTTGCATGGTCCAGAGAGTTATAAAACTTTCCTCTGTGTTGATTTTTGTGTTTGTGTTACTTCAATTCTCCATTAAGCAACCATACCTCAAGTGGGTCAATTAGAATTTAATGACCTTTTATGCCAGTTGTGCCATCTGTTAAAATGAAAAATTACTTCCTTGTGTTACTGTACATAGCTTTTCTTTCAGTGTTGACCATTCAGTTTGACCTAGGAGTTATGAATAGCTCTTTCCATGGCTATGTGGTAAGTAGCACAAATGTTTTTGAAACGGTATTCTCACCCAGTAGGCCAACTCTCCAAAAGATCCTTAAATGTCCCCAAATTAGTATATTTTTAGTTTTCCATTTTCAAGTATTAATTTAATGACTGCATTTATGTACACAATGTCATTCCCTTGCATTTTTTCACTCTAAATATCTTGCAAATCAATGAAATGAATATACTCTAACGTCTAATTTCTGAGTAGTGAAAAAAAAAATAAATTGAACATTTTAGAAATTGGAACTATTGATTTACTTTAGATTTGTAGGAAAGTAAAGCAGTTCTTTAGTCTTTATGACAAGTAATGCCCCAAATGGAACTATAGTTAGTAACTAATATATACGATTCAGACCTGAACTTTTCAATGCTTCTTTTCATTTTAGCGTGCAGATTTTAAATGTCGTATATAATTTTAACCAAAAACTCTGATGGCATAGTCCTTAAGGAGCTTCTCAACTTAACCAAAGGCTTAGCCTCTCCCAGGATTCTAATCTACCAGCAGCTCTCGGAGAAAAAGATGGATGGGACCTTCCCATGAAATTTACAGCCTTAGCAACCCAATGTAGAGTCAGCTATTATTTGATTTGGACTTGATAATGAGGTTTTTAAAGATTGAATGTAAAACAAGGCATGATAATCTTATAAATTCCAAAATTCCCTATATTATTAAGATCAATGAAGTTCAGTAACTACACTTCATATTAAAACCCTTATAGTATATTTTCTGAAAAATAACACCAATAATTAAAATACAGATTCCAAATGTGTGCTCTCTGACCACTGAATTAGAGGTTGAAATGTTATTTTATATTGATAATTACAGAAACTCTTCGTGGTTGTGTTATTTTTTTATTATTATTGTTAAAATGATCATTGTCTAGTTTGAATTAGAAAGGCTTTTCTACTTCTTTATTCCTCCCCACTGTGAATGACCTCAAATCCTCTTCATATTTTAGTGGCTTTGAACAGCTAGTTTAGCTCTAATGTCAAATCTTAAGTGTATAATTATGTACAATGTTTAATACCTCATATAATATTTTCTAGTAAAGTGGCTTCAATAGCATTGAGATGGTATTTTTGTTTTACACATTTCTCAATAAGTTGTCCTTTCAATGTTTGAAATTATATCAGGCTTCAATGTTTTTTAGTTGTCTAAATAAGTAATATTTTCAAAATAATAAAATTACCAATTCTCTTGGAATACTCTGTAAATGTAGTTATAAAATTCTATTTTCTACATAAATTTTTTAATCTTTCTTTTCTTCTTTGCTTGTTTTACAAATCATATGCATGAAATCACAAATTGTTTAAAAAATGTTCAATATCTACGCTTATAAATCTATTGTTTCAATATATGTAAAACAGCAAAACTTGGTTTCAATGAAAAAGAACTAAATTAGTTACCACACTGGGTAATAATCTTGGCAACATTTTAAATAAAATGGTTTGGTTTTTTCCAGTTTTCACTTTCCATTCTTCCTTCCCTACAAAATTGATCTTTGGAGTTTTTAAAATACACAAATATCTATAATGCTAGGGTTATTACTGAATTTCAATAGAATTAAATTTAGTTGAAAGTTAAGCTCATATGATGTCATTTTTATTTTATATAAATAATGTATTATATATAAGATTTTGTGGTAAAATAATTTATAAATATAACTATTATCTTGCAAGGTTATTGGAACTATGCTAGATGTTTGTAAAATCACTCCATCTTGCAAAAACTTTTATCTCCTCTGTTTAGCTTGACTTTCCACCAAAATATATTTTATTAGCCTCTGAGACTCTGATGAGACTATTGAAACTCAGATTATCAATATGATCTAATTACTGGTTGTTGTTATGTACCATTGAGTTGCCTGTGACTCATAGTAACCCTATGTACTTTAGCTTTGAACCCTTTCCTATCGTGAGCCAATTGCACTGTCTCTGCCACATCTACCCCTACTGTGTCACTGTGTCAATCCACCTCATCCAGGGTCATCCACTCCTGCGTTGTCCCTCCATCCTTTCAAGCATGATGTCCTTCTCCAAGGATTGGGCTCTCCTGGCAACATGCCTAAAGTATGTGAGACAGAGTTTCAAAAGCCTTGCCTCCAGAGATCAACTTGGTTTCACTATTCTTGGGGACAGACCTCTTTTTCCTCTTAGTCCATGTTATGATCGGTACTCTTCTTTGGCACATTTCAAAGGTATCGATAATTCTTCTGTCATCTTTAGTTATTGTCTAGCTCTCTGCTGCATAACAAGTAAGTGCAAAGACCATGGCCAAAATCAGATGCACCTTAGTCTCAAGAATAATATTTTTGCATTTTCACGCTCTGGAGAGATCTGTGACAGCAGATTTGACTAATGCAATTTGTCTTTTCCCCCCAACTGCTGGTTCTAAGAGTATTAATTGTGGAGGACACAAGCAAGCTGAAATTGTTAACAACCTCAATCTCTTCTCCATCTATCATAGTGCTACCAATTACCCAATGGTAAGAATCTTTGTTTTCTTGAGGTTGAGCTTCAATCCATATTGAAGACTGCAGTCCTTAACTTTCTTTGTCGGATGCCTCACGTCCTCCTCAATTTCTGCGACTAAGGTCATGCCATCTATAAAATAAGTTGTTGATGAGTCTTCCTCCAATTTTGATGGCACATTTTAGTAGACAGCTATTATTTTAATACAAATATTATTATCTATGTCAGTACATTTCTTCTAAACTAAAATATAAAAATATGTTGAAAACACTTTTATCCACTGCACTAGTTGCATTTTTTTTCAATTCATGGAAGCAGTAGTGAAATAACTGATTAACTATATCAGCAACATGTTATTGTTTGTTTGCTGTTGAGTAGCTTGTGACTATACCTACCCTATGTACAACAGCTCTGAAGCCTGCTCTATCCTGAGCTGACCTTATCAACTCTGATATACTTACACCCCCCCCTTACCCCACTCACAAACGGATTGCCATTTCATCTAGGGTCTTCTTCTCTTGTGCTGTCCCTACACCCTCTCAAGCATTATGTTCCTCTCCAAGGACTGGTCCCTCTTTTCAACATGCCCAAAGTATGTCAGATGAAGCTTCAGAATCCTTGCCTTCATGGAGCAGCCTGGTTTCACCCTCTGCTAGAACAACTCTGTTTGTCTCCTAGCAGTATTGTTCTCCAGCACTACAGCTCAAAGGCGCCAATTCTCCTTCTATCATCCCTATTCACTATCAGGCTTTCTGATGCATAGCTAGTAATTGTGAAAACCATGTCCTGAATCAGGTGCACTGTAGTCTCCAGACTGACACCGTTGCTCTTCAGTACTCTGGAGAGGTCCCTGACAGAAGATTTTCCCAAGTAAAATTTGTCTTTTGATTTCCTGTCTACTGGTACCAAGAGTGTTTATTGTGAAGCCAAACAAACTGAAGTTGTTAGATTAGCATAAAAAAAACAAAAACAACAAAACCTGTTTGCACAACCCTAACTAAGCGACTCTTGGTTTGTTTTTCTTTTCTATAGATCTTTAATATTTTTTAAATCAAGACCTTAAAGACTAATAATTTGCCTTACTCATAAAAATTTCTTTAATCAGTCCTATCTGTGATAGTAGATGGTCCTATTACAAATAGAATGGTATCCATCTGT